GCTGCTTATCTCAAAAGAAAGCTAAGGAAATTTGTCAAGATTTTCCTGTTGAATGGCCTCAATTTGATCACAAACGTCCTTTACTTCAGAGAGTTATCTTTGCTTACATGAGCAGTTCCTAAAGTGTGTCTACCAGAGCAGCTGTGCTACCGTTACCCGAGATGATGTTATAAATACAAACCGCTAGACCCCTCTCCAGCAACTTAGCCACAAAATATAGATGTGGTGCTCAGTAAACGGAAGTCCTTGGGTGTTGCTGATGCCTACTGAAGCTTCAAGCCACTGTTGTACGCCCACAGAGCACCATTTCCTCTTGGGTTACTTCTAACTTCTACTGTGGAGTTTTTAAAGATACATTATACAGTTTTAATTTTCCAATATTTTAAACCATTTCTGACAAATTATGTATGTCAATTTTATCTACAATGAAGCAAATGTGGCAGGGATAAGTATCAGGCTGGAAGGACTAGGTCCCCCTATTCAATCTTCTTGGCAAGCTGCAGAACCTCTGTAAGACCTGCATTGTCCTTGGGTAAAATTAAACAAAAATAGATTATACACATAACCCAACAGTCTCTGAAATGTAACAAGCATTCAAAGTAAAGTAAATGTATATTTTTGACCAACATTAATGACATATTAGTGACATTATGGATAAATACATGAGCTGTGAAGCTTGTAAATTAAACTCATGAAACTTGAGAGAGGTTCCTCTATTTGACTTTTTGGTTCCAAAAGGAATTTCAAAATTATTTCAGTTCAATAGGCCTTCATTATGTAGAGGGTTCTGTTTTGTTTCAGAGTATGTGTGTGAGAATATGCTTGTTCATGTATGTGTAAAAAATGCACAGGTGTGAGTATGTGTGTGTATGGAAACTAGAGATTAGCATGAAGTATGTTTTTCAGGAATTTTCCACCTTGTTTTTTGAGATAGGGTCTCTTTCTGATTCTGGAGCTCACCGAGTAGGTTAGAGTGGTTGACTAGCAAGTTCTAGGCACTCCCCTGCCTCTGCTTTTCCAGAACTGGGATTATGGAAGCATGCTATCACATATAATAAAGGTTTAACAAATGGAATTCATGTGACTGGAAAGTCTTCTATCAACTGAGCTATCTCCCCAGCCTCATCCTAAAGCATTTTTTTTAAGTAGAGTGAAGATGTCAGTCTCTATGTGCTGGAAAAGGATACTGTTATCTATTAAGTAATACCTTCACATGTTAAATTAATCTGTGCATTCCTCAGGATTCTCTACTGGAAAGGAGACATCAGCAAATAAGTATTACAGACAGATGTGTTTACTAGGTTGGCTCATATCATATGAGCAGTGTAGTTCAACAATATTGATGTTAACCATCATTACACTCACTATGGGCTTAAAGTGTCTGTTGTGTCCTCTAATGCTATTTGAAAAATAATACATTACTATAGGGACACATTTAATTTCAGTTTAAATTTATTACTTAGAAAAAAGTTAAACTCCCTATTTGGCCAACTGTATAAACTCCACTGTGTACAACTGCAGAGATTAGAATGTCAAACAGAAATTAATCTGCACTAGCAGGATATGTTCTACACCTGACTCAGTGAAACTTAGATAATTTCTTGTCAATTATCAGCAAATGAGAGACACTAATTTCCAGCCCCAGTTTATGCTTTCTATATATTAATTTTTTTAAAAAGCTGGTCTTTTCTATCTTATTTTCTTTATTTTATTTTTAGGAGTGAGATTTCCAGGTCTCACAAGCTCTCTCTCCTAGTTCATATTTTCAAGATCTTTTTTATCATTTGTATTGTTCTCTACTGAATGCAGGGCAATTTGTCTCCTTTCTGAACTGTGGCACTCGGCTGAACTTAGCCTGCAAATTGCAACCTAACAAGACCTGACTGTAGCTCCCTCCATTTTTATGCATGACATCACCATTACAATCCAACACATTGTAGCATTTGAATATTTTAAAAGGGATCAGAATGTCGACTCATTCAATTTATCACCCACTGTAACTCCTGAATTTTTCTCTCTGCTGCCATCATCTCCAGCTACTGACTGCAGTTTCTGTTTCCATTATCTCTCCTTGTGCACCAACGTTCACATCTGTTCCATTTTCCTAATTCTAATGTATCTGATTTGCCCATCTGCCCAATGTGTCAAGATGCTGAACAGCATTGCAGCGGCCCCTAAGATCTGAGAAACGTGTACTTCTTGACTCATTGTTTTTTGTGTTTTTTATCATAAATATACATCTTCCAACACATTTCCCGTATTATGCATGTGGCTTCCAGTGCTTTGCGCTTTGATAATTTCTTGTAAAAATCACTCCTTTTAAGGTTCCTGCTAGACAATCAAACAAAGCGGGAGTTGGGGGAGGGGGTAAAGCTGACTAAGTAAATCAAGCCTGCTCTTCCATTTATTGTTAAATGAAGAAAGTTAAACTTAGCACCAACTATCAACTATCCTTTGTGGTGGTGTTCTCTTACTAAACTGTCATATGAAGAACCGAGTTAAAACCTCTGATTTTCACATATAGTAGCTCCGTGGGTATCATGTATCCTTGCTTCAGTAGACCACTGGTGGGCATCCCAGAGCTGGTTAAGCAAACCTTAGTAAACAGAATAAGTTCTACTTAGCAAAACTGCATGTCCCAGTACGATTTTACGCAAAGCAGGGAACATAAAAGTAATGAAGAAAAGCAACAAAAGAATCATAAAGTGTTTGGCATCAATTCAATCACTTTTACCATGAATAAAGGCAGAACTATCAAACCAAAATGAGCTGACAAATTATGCATAAACTTTCATTTATAAGGGAATTATGGGAGTAATAGATGACAAGAGCTTGCAAGTGGAAAAAAAATACTGTATTTATTAAACTAGCTAGCAACCTGTATGTGCCACTTGGGCTCCCATCCTCCCGCCTTACACTCTGGCCCTGAGTCACTGCTGCCTCTAGTCCAAGCCAGTATCACTAACATAGTCTTACTCATCTCCCAGGGGAGAGAAAGAACTCCTCCCAAGCAGGAACCTCTTCCTCCCCATCTCCTGTGCTCACAATATTTTTTTTAGAAAATTGAACTCTAAATTTATAGAACACCACGGTCACGCTATATTATTATTAGAACTAGGCATTATTAATTTTGAGATCACCTCCTCTATTTGCTTTTCAGCTACACAAAGGCTTGCTTAATTAGAATTTGTAAAGTAAATGAATTGTTTTAAAATTACAGCCTTTTTAATAATTATACTTTTTAAACATAGATGCTAAACCTGAATGCTCTTTGGGAAATTATGATAATAGTATGTTGTGAGCCAAATTTTAATAAAATGGTAAGAAAATATGTTTACATGAATAAGTTCATTGAAAGATTAAAAAATTAGCATCTCTAAGAAAGGGCATGTGTTTGTAGTTTGTAGCTAATAAATAAATAAATGTATCAAAAGGAAACAATGCAAAAATAAAAGATAAGTAAGTAGAGGTTGTAATTTTTAAATATTACTGTTGTTCATCATTTTTCTCTTATGTATATATGACACATATCCTAATTTTACATTCTATATTATGGATAAGAATTACTGTGTTCTAATTGCATGTTGTAGAATTGAAAGAGGTTGTAACAACGGGGAAAGAGGTCTTATAATGTTTCCAGTTCTAATATACTAGTTTTCATAAGACCTATCATGGAGGATAATAAGTGCTAACATGGGGAAAATCTTAAAAATGCTGACACTTAATCCTAGGAAAGACCATGACATTTAGTCATTGACTTAAATACATAATGGATCAATTGACACCTGAGTGATACAATACTTTTCTCCTCAACTCAGGATAGGACCAGCAACAATTCATTGAAAGGGCAAGTGGGAAACTGTTACAGAAACTGAGAAACATTGAAAAGTTACTAAACATTACAGTGAAGGATTGTTTTGCTATTCTTTGATTTGGACCCAGTGAGACATTAAATTTAAATGTGAAATTGTTACTGGGGCAATTATGAATTTTTCTCCCCAAAGCAAGTAATAGTGCCTGTAGTTCTATATGCTTATCTGTGAGGTCTTCACTCTCACCACCTGCATCAGAGATAAGCCTCTTGTGACACACAAAACATCATCCTCTATGCAAATTGCCCGGTAGCTCCTCTTCCCTTCCCATGAGACCGTAGATAATCATGGAAGACAGAAAATAGAGAAAAATGGAACCAGCCATTATATGTGTGTGTGTGTGTGTGTGTGTACACAAATATATAAAATTTTATATATACATAAAATATATTTATATATGATACAATATATATTTTATATATACACTATATATATATCAGGAGAATTAAGACTCCTAGAAATACAAAGAAGTGTTTTATATCTGTAAAATGTGTGTGTGTGTGCACATGTGTGTAGTCTATAAGACATATATAGATATATCTATCATTCTCATTAAAATGGCATTTAATAGAAGATGTTTTTCTTAAAAATATTTTATTAAATCATTTTAATTATCTATTTTGTATTAAAATTATGCATCATAAAATTCTAAGATAAGATACGAGTTCAAGGTCACTGTCATGTGGCACTTCAAAGAGCAAAGGTCTTGCTCGTAACCTTTTTGTTTTTTGTTTTTCACTTGAAAATTGGTTCTGCTTCTTTGTTGATAATATATCCTGGGAATTGTGAATAAATGTTTCAACCTTTGTGAAAACCTTGAAGAGTTTAAATTGAATTTAATTGTTTTTCTTATAAGAAAAGCTACCAGACTTAATACATGCTGACACCTCCCATATATGAAGAATGAGGATATCCACAAAGTAAGTTAGCCTAAAACCCGAGGTAACCTTCCCAGGATGAGTGTGGTGTAGCTCCCAGGCTGCTGCCTCACACACGGTGAAGCTGAGACAAAGAGCCGCTGTGTAATTTTCTTGTCTTGCTTTTCTCCGGCTGGTGAGAGGAATGTGTCCACCTCCATCGGAAACATCATGAAATGCTACGGGAAGTACAGGACATGCTCCGACTCACCTGTTCCTATTGCTGGAAATCCAATCTGAAATCAGCGTGGAGGCTTGCTGGTGACAGTGCTTGTTCCCGAAGCTGCACGCCAGCATGATCACTTCTCTCCGTAGTTCTCTATACATTGTCGGAAGGGGAAAAAAAAATGAAAAGAAATGTTACTCTCAAGAGACAGTCGTAGCGATTCATTCGGGTGGACGGACGGGTGATGGGATGGGTGTGTATAGACGGATGATAGATATGTGGGAGAGACAGACAGAGTGCTAGCTCAGATATGATGGTTAAACTCCACTGTCAATTGGACTGGATTTAGAATTACCATGGAGACATATCTCTGAATATATCTGTGGCTCCAGAGATACTTTGCTGAAGAAGCAAGACCCATTGTGAATATACACGGCACCATTCCATTAGCAGGGCTCTAGACCTTATTCAGGGAAAAGGGATTTCATCTCTCCATCTCTCTTTGCTTCTGGACTGTGGACACAATACCACCAGCCACCTTGCTCTCCCATCATACATTGTGTCAGATGGAATGTGTCCTGATAAACCAAGGATCAAAATAGACCCTATTTATTTATTTATTTATTTACTTATTTACTTATTTATTTTGGCTCTACGAGATAGTGTTTCTCTGCGTGCCTCTGCCTATCCTGGGCTCACTTTGTAGACCAGGCTGGCCTCGAAGTCACAGAGATCCATCTGCCTCTGCCTCCTAAGTGCTGGTATTTAAGGGTATGCCACCATGCCCAGCGTAAACCCTAATTTTAAAGAGAACCAAAACATTACAGATGGTTGTGAGCCACCATGTGGTAGCAGGGAATTGAACTCAGGACGTCTGGAAGGGCAGCTAGTGCTCTTAAGCTCTGAGCCATCTCTCCAACCGGGAGTACCACAATATATATGAGTTCACAGAGGCTGTTCCATTGTTTATAAGACCTTCACAGTTTCAAATCACACAAAATGCCAGCACTGAGAAGTGAAAGTGAGCACACAATTTTATCCCAACCATAGAGCTTTTGCCATTGGTACCCACTAAGGAAGGGAAAATCCATTTTCTCTAATCAAGTGTCGCTGAGTATATAAACCATAGTCCAGGATAGACCCCTGCCTAGGAATAGTTGGCTATCGCCATACTGATTCCATGTTTTTGGTTTTGCTTTGTTTTGTTTTATGGATTCCTACTTTGTTTCATTTGGTATTTTTTTTTGTCTTATTGGGTTTTGTTTGCTTGTTTTTCATTTTGTTTTGATTTGGCTTTTTAGAGACAGGTGAGAAAGGACTTGAAGTTGGCTGTGTAGGAAAGTGGGGAGTATCAGGGAAGAATTGGGGAGGAAGAAAACGTTATCAAAATATACTATATGAAAATAAACTTTGTTTCCTTTATCAAGTATTTTGTTATAGCATTGAGAGAAGTAAATAATATGGTAGATACATAAAATAATAATGCAGAAATACATTTAGGCACAGAAATCCTATACTGCTGAGTAAAGAAAATGAATTAGGCTGAATGGGAGTTAAACACACTAAGTCTTTACTGGAGATATTCCTCTAGTCAAGGGCATGGGTTCTGTTCCCAAGATCACAACACAGGCAGATCTCGAATTAAAACACAGTCATGAACTGCTTTGTTCTCAAGATCAGGCAGCAAAAGAACTTTGTTGCTCAGCTGCAGTCCTTGCAGGAAAGTGAAATGCAAAATGCAGAATGAGGGAAAGGCAGCCTCATGCTGCTAAAGTCAGAGTGCTACTAGAAGTGTGTTTTCGCACAGCTCTGGGAAAAGAGGAGAACAATAAAATAAAACAGTACTCGTGTTGGTAGGATGCTTGAACGAGAGATCCATTGAAGTTGTTTTTTGGCCATCCGAGCTTGATATATGTTGTTGCAACTTGTTTTAAAATATACTCCTACATGGAGAGTGAGAGAAAACAAGATAATCAGTTTAATCTTCCCAAGTTTGGTAATTTAAAAATTTAGTCTGGGTAATTCAGAGTAATGTTCTCTTACACTTTTATTCAATTTACTATTTAAGACATAGAAGACATTATTCCCTTCTGCTAACTGAATAATTTGCAGTGCTAAATATTTTACACAACAAATTTTAATAAAGTGAGGGAAATGGGAACTATTCAGGATGAGATTTATGTATACATATGTGTAACCATATGCAGCTACACATTAAAAAAATAAGCATCTACTGTACTTCTTAGGATTTTACTTTTATCTATGTATAAGTGTATGTGCCTATGTAAGTAGATTCCACATATATACAGGTACATATAGGAGCCAGAAAAGGACAATTGATCTGTTGTAGCTGGAGTTATGGGTGATCGTGATCTGCTGAACACAGGTGCTAATAATTGAACTGAGGTCCTCTGGAAGAGCAGCAAGCATTTCCAATCTGTGAGCTATTTTCTTCACTGAAATATCTAATATTTGTGCATTTGATTCAATGCAAAGCTATTATATAGGCCCAGCCAACAGACTAGTATTGTGGAAGAGAAGACGTACATACACTTCCATACTGTGATAGAGTATGACAAATTCAAAAATCTATTCAACTAACGATGCATTTAAATATCAATGACGCTGTAAGATATACTCTCCCACACTTTACCGTTAATCTTAGAACTTTGTCTAAGGAATGAAAGTGCTAAAATTACAGCAAGAACATCTCTTTAACTTTTACTATAAGAGGAATCTAACATGATATACTATTCAAAAGTATAAACATACACAAGAATGTATTTTGCCTTTTTAGGAGTTTCATAGTTCAGCATCTCTTTGTTAGACTTTCTCTAGCAGACAAACATTAGCTCCCGACTCAAATGACACATTTCTTTGCTTGTCTGTTGCTAAGGGCTTATGCAAAACTAACAGCAATGAACAGCCAAGCCATGATTATTCTCATTTAAAAAAAAAAAAAAGTAAATTGACAGTCACGTTCATGAAGCCTTGGGGTAAGAACAAAGGAGGCAACTGTGAACATCAGACAACCTAGATGGTTCTAAAAACATAGCAAATCACTGACAATCCATCCTCAAATAATTTCGATTGTGTATGTTAATTTGCAGAGTCATTATGTCGTGAGGCACAGAATAATTTCATAAAGCACAGTACAGGTTCTTAAAATAGCTAAAGAAAACTGTACAGGGCACCAAAGTAACTATGACAAGAAATCAAGGAATCAAAAGCTCATTAGCTGTACTTAATCCTGATATTAATCAGAATGATCATTAAATCCAAATAGGTGCTGTTGGTAGTACAACTTTGGTTTCCTGGGATTTGAGCTTAAAAAATCTGGTCAGGTACCATTTTGGAATGTGTGTCCTGCCTCCGTGTCTGCCTGGATTATCTGTTGTTTGCTGCCCTGTATCCCCTTGGACCCAATTATGAATGGGCTTTGGCCTCAATGTTGATCTTATCCTTGTTAATTAAGGAGGTGCATTGGATTCACCATGCCCTTTCGGATAAAAATAATGACTAGGACTCTTTACTGAAACTATCTATATTCTGTTAAGTTTTCTGGGATCCCTCTACTCAGGTTAAGTCCTTTGTGAACACAGAGCCCTTTAGCTCTCAGGAAGTAAGTTTGAACTTTATGGATTTGCCATGTACGTTCTTTCTTAAATTCTCAAGCACTTAAGCTTAATTGACACTTTTAGGCCAGAATAAAAGGTAGCTTGTGTTAAATTTCTTTTTTTCAAATAACTGCCATCAGTATTGCACAGAAAATCAGGACAAAAATAGCAGCCTAAACTAGCAGGAGGAAATGAAATAATTCAGACTCAGTTGCATCGAGTGCATAATGAGAAACTAGTTTATCTTCTGAAAATTAGAAAGAAGAAATTATATATTTTTACATTGAAGACATTGTAGTTCTCCATGCGGTCCAGTAATTTATCCAGAGGATAAAGAGCTCGGCTGGCAGCATGCCAAGGAAGAAAATCCTTTTCCTCAGACAGGTATCTGATAATCTCGAGGGGAATATTCTGAGGCAAATAGCCTGCCCTGCACAGTCAAAAGAAAGTTAATGTTAATTAGATGCAGAAAAGATACACAATGATGTAAAAATGAAGATTTTATTTATGCAAATAAAAGACAAAAAGCAAGATTCATCACAGTCTGTAGAAAGGACACACAGTGATATGAAAATAAAATTACTCACTTTTAAAAACAGTGCTTGTTAGGATGCCAGAGCCACTTAATTTATACAGAGGCAGAGAGTTTGAATTTTATAAGAAAATGAACACATCAGAATGTGTTTTTGCAAAGGAGAGAACCAGGGAATTTTAACTGAGCCAATAGGTATTTCTTTGACAGAAACTCCAAGGATACCAAGTAATTGAAAGCAATTGAATGCTATCTTGTGGTTTTTGTAGTTCTATGTAATGACTTTTAGTTCACAGTGTTATCTAAAGGATGACTAAATTAAAGTATCAATATGCTTTAAACGTGTATGCTATATAACAATATAAACATTTTAAATTGTATATGTTGTGTATGTGTGTGTCTTAGGGCTTCTATTGCTGCAATGAAACACCATGACCAAAAAGCAAGGTGGGGAGGAAAGGGTTTCTTTGGCTTACACTTGAGCATTACTGTTCATCACTGATAGAATCAGGACAGGAACTCAAAGAACGCAGGATCCTGGAGGCAGGAGCTGATGCAGAGGCCAAGGAGGGATGCTGCTTACTGGCTTGTTTCCCATGGTTCACTCAGCCCACTTCTTACAGAGCCCAGGACCACCAGTCCAGGGATGGCATCACCCACCATAGGCTGGGCCCTTCTCCCATTGATCACTAAATGAGAAAATGCCTTACAGCTGGATCTCAAGGAGGCATTTCCTCAGCTGAGGCTCTTTCCTCTGATGACTCTAGCTTGTGTCAAGGTGACACACCAAAGCAGCCAGCATAGTGTGTTTGTACATACTGGAGTGTGCTATGTTATTGCAGGTGTGTGCATGCCACAGTGGACATGTGGAGGTTAGGGGACATCTTTGAGCATCAGTCCTCATCTTCTACTTTGTTTGAGAACCAGGTCTATCTTGCTCACCTCTGCAAATGCCATGCCAGTTGTTGGTCCATGAGTTTGCAGCAAACCTGCCTTTGCCTCCTTTCCTCTCAGAGGTACATTCTGGGATAAGAGACAGGTTACCGCAGCATCAATCTTTTTGGTTAAAAAGGGGGATGCCAACAGAGGCTAGAACAGGGCGTTGGGTTCTCTGGAACTGAAGTTACAGATGGTTGTAAACTACCATGTGGATGCTGGGAATTAAACAAGGATCCTGTGGAAGAGCAGCCAGGGCTCTTAACCATTGAGCCATCTCTGTAGCCCCTCATAGTTTTGTTTTCTGGATTTTTTGTTGAAAAAAAAAAAACAAAAAAAAAAAAACTTTTTATTTGTGCACAATAGAAGGCGGTCAAGGTGGAAGCAAATTTATCATTTTTATTTACACATTTTTTTTCATAATACTTAGTCAAATTAGGCTATGGGTAAATATCGGTGAATATTGTCTTACTGCTGTGTTTATTTATACTGTTGGAAATAAAAAACAATCCTGAATGTTGCACTTTAATTTTTCTCAAAAGGACGTAAAACACTGTGTGTCATTCTAAAGATTTTGATTTAGTTATGATACACAATCAATCATAGCTAATGTAAATAACACTCATTTGAGACTTTTTCTTTCAGCAATGGTGTTTAGAACACATCTAAATGACACTGTTCACATTTTATATTTCCATGTATAAACAACACCAAATTACCTAGGATGGTGTAAATAAGCAAATTTATCATTTAGCTAGGATTCTCTTTCAATAATAGTTAAATTTTGCTTTCATAGGTTTGTTGCAACTAAAGAAGAATATCATTTTAATAACATGGTATGATTTAAATTAAATATCATTTTCAAAAGAAATTTTCCCTCTTCTTGTTGGTCAGAGGACTACTCCCCAAACAAGGCAGAATGTTGTCATTGCCCCCTGGTTCCCTTAACTTAAAGGTAAGAAAGAACATTTGGTGAAGACAACATACATTTCTGGCATGGGACTTTAAGTTTTCAAGCTGGAACTACTGACCAAGGACTGGTTCTCACAGTATCACAATGAGCTGTACAAGTTTCTAATGCAGAGGGATAGTCAGTAGTCCTACAAAACTGTAAATTCAATGAACCAAAATAATGACTGAGCTGGCAAAGAATCCACAATGGTGGAATAGACATACTTTTAGCTTGGGTGGTAACCAATAGCTGTCTACTTGGATTGACATCCCACTCAGTAGGAGGGAACTCATGACTGGTACTATGAAACTGAGCCAACTACCTACAGCTGGAGATGTCATAGACCTGACATGTCTTATGACAAATATGATTCCTGTAAAAATGATGACAAATGATGATATAGAAATAGACATGCAAGGGAAAAGGCACTTAGATATAATTCTGCTATTAATGCTTTCTGTAAAATTAAGTAAATATTTCCCATTTTTTTTGTCTATAACAAAGCTAGACTAAGAAACAGCATTTTTGGTAATTTAATTCTAACTTATATAATCTACAATTTAAACTGCTAAAAACTAATTATAAGTTTGAAAACTTGAAAAAGTTTTCAAAAAAGTTCATATATATTTCATTCTTCAACTGCTAGTATATGGAAGTCTAAGAGGCAAGACTCAGATCCAGGTATTTAAAGACATCTGGCATTCTGCGACAGAGGAAGAAAAGTCAGGCTAGCCTGGTATACGTCCCACATAACACTAAGGCAAGGAAAATAATCATTACATACAGAAATAGAGCAAGCTCTGTTTTGAGGCCTTATGGCAGAAATTGCTACCATGCTGCTAAGTCCTAGCTTTATGTTTCTTCCTTAGACACATCACAAACTGAATTCCTGATAGTTAGGCATAGCCATGTGACAATGATCTAATAACAGAGTATGAATGTGAGTTTCTGACAAAGTTAATGTGATTTTATTTATATATATATATATATATATATATATAAAATAATCCATCTGGAACCCTGGAGAATTATATGGCAAATCCACTAGCCTATCCTAGATCTATTTTGCCAATAGAAAATAACTACCATTTTATTCAATCCACAACATTCCTGGATCTATTTTTTAAAAGCAGTTAACCTTCTCTAATGCAGTTTTCAAAGAGAATATGAAACAGATTACACTCAAATTATGCTCAGTCTCCCTCACTACCAACATATGTAAGTAATTACTTACTACATAATTCAATATACTTACATTTAAATCTACAGATCAAAATAGGCAGCTACCCTTAATTGGCCAAGGGGATGATCAGCTTCATGACAAAATGACAGAAAGTAAGAGATAAGGTTGGTTACCTAGCTTAGATGTGTTTGTCTAATTGGCTGGTAATGATGTTGGTGATTACTACTACTGATAATGAAATCAATATAGGAAGAGTGTGGATTCCAGTGAACAGAGCACCTCAAAAGCCTGAAGTGTTCAACACCATAGGGAACAAGCAAGGGTCCTGATGTTGAAATGCATTTTCCTTAAATTCGCATCACTGGGGGTAAGTGTTACTAGCAACATGAAAGAATAGCACATTTTCAGAATATTCCACATAAAATTGTGTTTACTAATGTCTTTTTTCATTAAGAAAATGTTTTCAATTCTTTTACACACCAAAGATTCCCCTCTTCTCTTCTTCTGCCCCTCCAGCCTCTGCCTCCCAACCCACCCCCACTCCCACCCACTATAAGGCAAGGCCTCCCATGGGGAGGCACATTCCATAGAGGCAAGTCCAAGATCCTCCCCCTGCCTCAAGGCTGCAAGAGGAGTCCCATCATAGGTTGTGGGCTCCATAAAGCCCACTCATGCACTAAATGGATTCTGATCATACCGCCAGTGGGCCTCCCAAGCAAATCAAGCTACCCAACTGTCTTGCCATGCAGAGGCCCTAGTCCAGTCCCATGCAGGCTCCATAGCCACTGACCCAACTTTCATGAGGTTCCTCTACTTTGGTTTGTATCGTCCCTGCATGTTTCCCCATCATGATCCCAATGTCCTTGCTCATAGTATCCTTCCTCTCTCTCTTTGATCGGACTCCTGGAGCTCTGTCTAGTGATTGGTTGTGGATCTCTGCATCTGCTTCCATCAGTCACTGGAGAAAAGGTCTATGATGACAGTTAGGAACAAAACATGGCTGTCTGCTCTCCCCATATTTATTCAATATAGTACTTGACATTCTAGCTAGAGCAATATGATAGCAAAAGGAGATCAAGGGATACAAATTGGAAATTAAGTCAAATTTTCACTATTTGTAGATGATATGATAGTATACATAAGTGACTCCGAAAATTCTACCAGGGAACTCCTATAGCTGATAAACATCTTCAGTAATGTGGCAAGAGACAAGATTAACTCAAAAAAATCAGTAGCTCTCCTATATAAAAATGATAAATGGGCTGAGAAAGAAATCAGAGAACCATTACCCTTTAAAATAGCCACAAATAATATAAAATACTTTGGTGATTGCTTTGGAGGAGGTGGGAATGGGGGGTGGGCTGGGGGGAAGGGGAGAGGGTTGGGAGGGTGGAGAACAAGGGAATCTGTGGCTGATATGATATGAAACTGAGTTGTATTGTAAAATAAAATAAAATACCTTGGGATAACTCTAACTAAGCAAGTGAAAGACCTGTATGATGAGAACTTGAAGTCTCTGAAGAAAGAAATTGAAGAAGATGTCAAAAAATGGAAAAATCTCCCATGCTCATGGATAGGAAAGATTAACATAGTAAAACTGGCAATCTTACCAAAAGCAATTTACAGATTCAATGCAATCCCCATTAAAATCCCAACACAATTCTTCACAGACCCAGAAAGAACAATACTCAACTTCATTTGGAAAAAACAAAAAACCCAGGGTAGCTAAAATAATCCTGTACAACAAAACCACTTCTGGAAGCATCACCATCCTTGACATCAAGCTCTATTATAGAGCTATAGTAATAAAAACAGCTTGGTATTGGC